ATAAAATTAGATAGGTCTGATTACAAAACCTAAAACCATCAGCAAGATTCAACACGTAAATTTAAAAGGCAAACTACAAGATTGAAAAACACTGTGTAATAACCAAGAGTAAATGTCCTCAACAGAAAAAAGACTTCTCAGGGGGCAACAAAAATAGAAGCGAAGCACAGAGCAGATGCACAGATCAGCAAACACACACAGGAAGTGAACATTCAGCTTTACAGAGTCAAAATGTGCACATTAAAACACTGAGACACTGCTTAAACCTCCAATCAGCCAAGATAAAAACAAAAAGGGCCAGGGCCAGGCTGAGCTGTGTTTGGCCTTTCAGAAGGTACTCGGCAACATGAGTCAAAAGCCTTCACACTGATCATGCCCTCTCAGCCAGTAATGTCACTGTTAAGAAATTCCCTTAAGGAAACGATCAGATTTATGCTAAGACATTTGTTTCTAAGACATTTCTAATGTCTTACAAAACAGAGAAAAGTATCCGCCCATATCTCAACAGTAAGTCAGAAAAAATCATAATCAGAAAACAGTATCGTGCTTGGTTGCAAAACAAGCCCACACACATTATTTCTGAAGAGATGCAGGCCACTGCTGACTCAAGGGCGCACCAGCAAGTTAACTGAAGGAAGGCTTGGCTGTCTTGCCTCCAGGCACCTTCAATTCATCTACTACAGACACCATGAACCCAGCAAAGGAGAGGTGGGCCCACCCGAAGGAACTGACAGCAGCCCCTGAAGGAACTGCTGTGTGCCAGGCAGGATGACATGTACACGATGGTGGCCTTGAGAAATCGAAGAAACAGTAATCTCTTTGATAAGGCAGGAAAGCATGCAGGACATTTTATAAATAGTCCATCGGGTGTTTATGTTACACAGAAGGAAAAGGTGGTTCAGGGGTTGAGCAGAGGGGTCAGGTGCTGGTTATCAGAATAGGATTCTGTCCAGACATTCCAGGTACACAGAACTTCCCAGGGACAGCAGTCAGCCACACAGGGCAGAGGTTCAGAACGCAAACCCTACCAGCCAAACTCTCCTCCTAGAATGTGACCTCTCAGAATATGCACAATTCATTCTCCATGCTGGGCTTGCATAAACATATTGGAATTTTTAGCAAGACAATGTGTTTCGGAGCATTTCATCTATAAAGTCCACTGAACTGGACACTGTCAGTTAGACAGTGAAAAGTAACCATTAGGCACAGAGAAAAATGCAAAAGTGCTTTGTGATGAGGGTGGTCATTAGAATGGGTGTGGGGAGCTCTCAGGAGGCAGGTTAGGACACCCAGACACACATTAACAAGAGAATGGTTAACATAACTATATGAACACATTCAAGACCAAAACGGAGCCATGAAAATAATGAAGTAATTGCAGTCAGACCAAGACTAGCCTAACTGACCACAGCTTTCCACATCCCAGAGAGCTAAATTTAAACACCCGTGGGTAAACGGGGGCATACCTCATCCTTGCACAGGAAGACAACAGTATGAAAACATCACAAGGAAGGAAAAGTAAACATGCAAGAATAGCCAGGAAAATTCAGGAAAGTGAAATAATGAGGTAGGGCTGTCCCTACCATACAGAAAAAGCACAAAACTACAGTATTTAAAACTGGCACTGGCACATGAATAGATAGATAAATGGGGAACAGATGTAGTCATCAGTAAATGGTGTAGGGACAACAGGCTAACTGTACCTAAGTCACTCACTATGATGAAATTAAGTCCAGATAGAGCTAAGGTTCAAATTAAACTACAGCCTTAAAATAATTAGGCAAAACATGGGGACTAACAGAAAATAATCTTGAGCTAGATTAGCCTTTCTGAACTACTCATAAAATCCAGAGGCCATAAGAAATATTGATAAATAAGTACAAATATATTTAAAACTCTGAATAGCAAAATTTTAGCATACAACTTAAAGATCAGTGACAAACTATTTGCAGCACAATTGAAAAAGGGTTAACTTCTTTAATATTTAATAAGCTCTTAAAATCCCAATAGAAATACAAGTCAAAACTACAGTGAAATGCTATTTTCACTTCTCACATTGACAAATAAACAAGATAAAAAACACAGTGTTGGGAAAAGTGTAGGGAAACCAGAACAGCCACAAGCTGGTGGCTCCATCATGTTTAGAAAGGCAGTGGCCCAGAAATCCCCTGAAAGGACACGTTCCCCACAGACATAGTTGCCACGTACATAAACACACGCATACAGATACTCAGTACAGCCCTATAAACAGTAAATATTGCTAGAAACAAGGTATTTGTTCCTCAAAAGGGGAATGGATAATTAAAACAGGCTACTACAAAGGCATCGAAGAGCCCAAGGCAGATCATGATGAGCTCCTTGACGTGCCATTCACTGAACCCAAAGTGCAAGACAGCATGTGGTACACCAGGGCCTCTATAGCAAAACACATGCACAGAATTCTCCAGAAAGAAACTTCAGCAACTAAGTGGTCACAGCAGCTGCCAATGTAGGAAGGGAGGCCAGGCCAGGGGTTAGAGAAAGACATCACTGTTTCTCCTATAGGGTTTGAATTTTAACACGTCCAGGTATTACTTTGAACATTTTTCATACCTTTAAGTTAAACAAATTAGAAGAGCCTTTGCCTCTGGGGTCAGCATAGACAGAGGCAGGGCCTTGCTCTGACATACAGACGGCAGGTCACACAGTTGCCTGCCACAGTGACAGAAGAGTAAGAGGGACAATGCATGGATCACCTAGAGGCTGAGGGGAGAGAATAAGGCTGCTGGGACAGATCTCAGGTCCTTGCAGTTCCCAACATTAAGCTCCTTGTGACCCCACAAGGGGAGAGACAGAGTGGTTCATACCTGTGCTCCTGGCATTTAGTGGCCTCTTAGTGGAGAGAGGGAGCATATATTCAAACCAGAAAGCAGACAAGGTTGTGCTGAGCAGGTGGACGAGGGAGCAGACTGCGCTGCTACCTGGATGTACTCCTTTAGCCTAGAGATGCCTACAGACAGATGCCAGGGAAGATTAACAGACCGAACAAACTAACAAACAAGTAAGAATTAAATGCTACTTTTTGCAAATGTCACAAGTACTTTCCTAGAAGAGTTCATTTTTCAACCTGCTTTCGGAGGGAACAGTAGGCAGTAGACCCTGAGGCTTGTTAAATCCATCCCTGTTTTGCGCTAAATAAGTCAGACACTGTCTCATGCTAAAATCTGTTATGGACAAGCGGTTTCAGCAATCATTTTAACTGAATTCCACAGCACATCAGGAGAAGGCCAGGATTATCCTACCTTGGCAGCAGAAGCTCTCAGCCCACCTCACAAGACTGAGAGCCCCAGACCCAGAAAGCACCAAGTACAGAGGCAGAGCTGCCCGCTGTACTGGAGCAGGTGCAAAGCTCAGGCTTCCTCGAGGCACTGTGATCCGAGGGCGTGCAGACACGTGTAGGAAGAGGAATTTACAAGAAGCTCTGTCTGCAATGGTCAGAAAACCCTACAAATAAGCTTAAAAGCCTTTCATCAGGAAAATGCTTAAAATAACTACACCAACATGCACAAGATTGAGTATTATGAAGCCATGAAAATAATGAAGTGTTGCAGAGCAGTACATGTTGTATGTTTCCATTTTATAGTAGATAATAGGATAAATCTGCAGTATGTCCACAGAGGGAAACTCTGAAGGAACATAAATGAAGTTGCCATTATTATCTTGGGAGAAGAACTATAGAGAAACTCTTACCTTCTACATTGTGTTTTTCTGCAGTGTTTAAATTTTAAATGCAAGACTAGTCATTTATAAAGGCATTAAAAATAAATTCTGCCACAAATGTACACTCCACAGTCCCATCCATTACAACAGTACATAGTATAGTAATGTCAACCATAAACTTTACCTAAATCTGCAAACTTTTGATCCCTTTGAGAGTTGCTGCATTGCAGAGACAAACAGAAAATAAAGCCAGAGTGACATGGACCTAGAGTGTTTGGCTGGGCATCATCAGTAGCCTCAATGACATGAGTAATTTAAAAAAATTATACCATGAAAATTATAAATGATTATGTGCCTTGG